TTTTGTCTTTATAATAATGAAGTGAAAATCACAATTTAGAAATACTTGTCTTTTGTATATAATGACCGTAAGGTCAATAGTCAACACAATCACTTTAAAATTTGGGAAACCTTCTAATTAGAAACATCCAATATAGGTTCTAAAGTTGATGAGGCTATATGTACTTGTCGCTTCCTTCTCCATAAAAACGAAATCTCGATTCCTGGTAGGGGTCGTCAAATGCATATTATCGTAAATCTCGATCTCAAACTGGCATGGATCTTTGATCTATATGCTTCAAAAACTTGATTCCAAAATCCAAATATGTTAGAATCACGATTCGAAATATCAACATATCTTTGTTCCACAGATGTCGAAAACTCAATTCCATAGATCTCGAAAACTCGATTCTGCATATTAAGGAATCTTGACCCCTGGAGTGTCGATTCTAGGGGGATGGGAATCTCGATTCCAAGGAGGATGGAATCTCGGTCGAAAGACCATTCGCAAAAACTGGAAATCTCGTTCCTAGCAATTCCTATTTGTATGGATAACGATTCCTAAGATAGGAATCTTTGATCCAGTCGCAATTCCGCGATTTCAGTTCCTAAAACGATCCGGGTTCCCAGGTGTTTCCAACAACGGCAAATAGTTTTAGAAGAATTTCAAATGCAAGAACTGAATTTGCAAGTGTACCAAGCAAGTAGGACCTCCTTCTCAATGTATCAATCACTTTATTAAGCTGTCCGACTTTGAAATCTAAAGTCTGTTCATCACATAAGAAAACTTCTTCAATAATAAATCCACTTCTCATGTTCTGGTTCAAGTTCTTTTAGGAATTTCAAGGCCTCATGATCCGAAAACAAGATAAACTCTTTTTGTGTAAGGTAATACCCCCAATGACCAAGTGTTTACATAATAGCATAAAAATTTACATCTTAAGCAGATTACCGAGACTAGAACTCATTCAACTTTTCATATAAAAATAGTACTAGCTAAGGATAGCTGCAATACCCTCATGTAAAGCATAATGCTCTACCTAGAAGATCTTCTCAAAATATGAGTGCCAAAACATGATGACCAATCATATTTCCTTTCACAAGCCTAAAACTTTCCTCAGCTGCCTTGGTCCACTCTAGTGACTGTTTCGTCATTCAACTAATGATGCTAAATTTTGAAATGAACGTTTTATGGAAAGTAGCTGAGCCATGAAAAGCTCTCACCTCTCTCATAGTTCTAGGTGTAGGTGGTTAACTGGACAATGTGATCTAGTCAAGTATATATAGTTAAAATTTTTCTCATTTTATTTTATTCATACTGTCTAGAACACATATATGTGTTATAAAATTTGATTTGCAGAAATAAACCCCTTGCAATCTAGGATCTTCACTTGCATCCCATTACAATTCTTACATTCAAACAAAATACAATTCATGAGATTGAATCTAGAAACATGGAACCATTAGAATACCAAAGCCAAGGGTTACTCCCAAGGACTTGATGTACCCCACTCCTTGTCTCCTCTACCGATAAGCACGGGATCAAGGTCCTCAACCCTGTCTCACAATGTGGGAAGCTTGGGAATACCCTAACAGCATGAGAGAACAAACCAAGCTTTTTTATGAGGCCACCCTTCTACATTTAGTTTTTAGAGGGGCATACCCCCCCTTCAATATCTCTTGGCGTGGCCCCCTTTTTTACTTCGAACTTCGAGAGAGTGAGATGAGAGAGTGACGTACCACTCTAGAGAGAGAGAGAGAGAGTGGTGTGCCACTCTTTGAGGTAGAGAGAGAGAGGGAGAGAGCTTTTAGAGTGAGATGTATCTTTGTCTCTACACATAAAGATTATCTACAATACAAGGCTAGGGTTTTCCATCTTAGTGAGACTTAATCTTGGCCATTGATCTTAGAGACATGTGGGTGAAGAGATCTTAGCCACCCATTCCCTAGATCAGTCGTCATGATTAAAAGCAAGGTAATAGAACCATTATCCCTCAATTTTCTTAACCCATTCCCCTCAAATATTCAATATGCAAAAACTAAGATAATATATCATATTAATTTCAACCAATTCAAAATCTTTCCCTTTTGGAAATCAATCAATCCTTTCTCTTGAATCATACCAAAAATAAAACAAAGTATGAAAGATCATAGGGGAACTCCTTTCATTTCGAACACCCATCAAATTAATCTCTACGTTCCATATCTTATGCTTTCTTTAAATCAATAAAAGATCATATGGAGGTCTTTGCTCTTCTTCCTAAACTTCGCTACTACTTGTCAAAGTTGTAAAATAGCCTCAATGGTTGACCTCCTCGGCATAAAATTGAATTGATTTTTCGATACACTTGTTTCATTTCATAGTGGTTGCTCAATCACCGTTTCCACATTCATAGTGTGGCTCATAAGTTTAGTACCGCAATAGTTCATACAACAATGTATATCTCCTTTGTTCTTGTAACTAGGTACAATACTTTTTCTTTATTCATCTAGCATTTTCTTTGTTCTTAAGATCATGTTGAACAACTTGGCCAATTGGCATGTGCCAATCTCTCCATGCAATTCCAAATCTCCATTGGTATACGATATGGTCCTAAAGCCTTTCTTGTCTTCATCTGTCTTAAAGTTTCTTTCACTTCAGATATCTTAATCCTACAAATATATCTAGACCTTCCACTTTACTTATATCATGGGGTCCTAACTCCATTCTCCGGTCCTAACTCCATTCTCCAAAAGTATTTGTCATTTAAAAATTTTTGAAAATAAATTTTCCATCTTTTGTCGACCTCGTCGTCTTTCCCCAAGAGCCTTTGATCCTCAATCTTAATGCATTAGATCTCTACACTTCCTCTCTCTCTTTTTTGTTAGTTTGAAGACATTTGTTTCACCTTCTCTTTCCCCAATTTATTGTGTAGATTATCTATGCTTCAAACTTAACCTTATTTACTATTTTCTTAGCATTCTTCTTGGCATTTTATATTCTTCTAAGTTTTGACTATTTTTATTCCATTGCTAAGTTTTGGAATATGATTGTATTTCTTTAATAGCCTTTTGAACATCATCACTCCAGCACTAAATTTCCTTATCTGAATTTCTTTTCCCTCTGATTCTCCTAAAACTTATTTTGCCACTTTATTAATACATTAACTCCGTCCTCCGATTTCCAGTTCTTTCTTTATCAATTTATTCTTAATTATATCTATTTTCTACCTTTTTAAATTCCATCACATAGTTCTTCGATACCTATTAATTTCACTCATCTTCCATCTCTTTATGCAAATATCTATAACATTGAGCCTATGTTGCATGGTCAAACTCTCTTCTAGCATAACCTTATAGCTTTGCATGATGGTTGTTCTACCGTCGTAACTAGAAAAGTTTCCATCTGGCGTTTATATGATCCACTTTTGTAAGTTATTAAATATTCATCTTGCTTTCTAAAATAGGTGTTTGCTATTTTAGGTCATAAGCCATGGCAAAATCAAGAATAGCATCATCATTTCATTTCTTGAATTGTCTATATGCTTGTAATACAAGAATAGTTTTGGCGATATTCCAGCATTTTTCCTTTGCCACTATACTAGTGCCCTCAATGAAATAATAGAAACGAACGTATAGATAATTTCTCTTTTATATAATGGTGATTTCAATGAAAGTTGTCAAAAATGTTTAGGATCATGCATGATAGCTTGTTGACTTCCAATATTCAAAGAGAACCGGGATGGAAGTCATAGTTAGCGGTGCGTATTATGACAAGAACTTAGTGGACAAAAGGAATTGGATTAATTAGCTTTTGATCCCCCAAAAGGTTTAAAAGGTAAAAAATCACATAACACGCTAAAATTTGGTCACTAAAAAGATCAGAAATAATTCCTTTTTTTTTCTCAAATTATTGAGTAAAAAAGGACTGTTTATGTTTGTGTTTTTTATAATGTCATTATACTTAAAACAAATTACGTTAATACACACTGCACCGTTGTGTCCTAGGTGCAAACATGGCACGTCCCGTAGTTAACCTTTTACTCAAAAAAAAAAAAGAAATACTATGACGGATTTTAATAGTTCCTTACAAAAATAACTCTACTCATTTGTAGGCATTGTTATTGTACTTATGTTATTTGCAAAGGCATGGTTGAAATTTTCACTCAAGGATGAGTATTTGTATAATGAGTTACCATGGCATTCAAAGCATGCATTTATCAATTGACAAAACTACCATTATAAAGTTACTTGCAGACAATAAGGTAAGGATGTTCCATGTAAAAGATTATCGAACACCGTTTCCTAATGTTACCTGTTTATGAAAATTTGCTTTTTTTGTGAGTCTAGCTTGTTTTGTGAAAGCAAGGTTAAAAATCGAGAAATATTTTGAAAGATGAGCTTTTAAAAAATCAATATCTGAAAATCACTTTTTTCTTAGAGTGTTTTCTTTAAATAATAGTTGCCTTGTGCACTTATGTTTTAGAAAAATTTCCATATATTAGGAATAATGCAGTGAACTTGGTCTTTTGTTTACTATGGGCGTGATATCTCCCATGGGATGATTCCTATGAACATGTCGGCTATTGAATAATAGCACGAGGTAATAAAAACCTTTTCACGTAGGTATTTCCCAATAATTGGTTTTGTCCTAAGGTCAAGAGTATCTAATTCGGAACAATTATTCAATGATGATGGAATCTCATCTGATAACACATTGTTTCTTACGATCGATGTTAGAAGCTTAATTAGATTTTCCAAGGTAGTAGGAGTAGCTCCAGTCAATTTTTTCCCGAAGATTTAGAAAATCGAAATTTAATTATACTCCTTATCATCTTGCCACTTCTATTTGGAGGTCATTTTGTTGAATTAATATCCTCAAGATTGTACTGTTTGACCCTTAGTCAAGAAAATATTCTCAAATTCTCAGAGTCATATGTTATCTATGGATATGTTGACTTATTCTAATGGTCAGGAGTCAATTCTTTGTTATTAATTACGTGTTAACTTTTTCATAGTTATCAATTCTTTGTTACATTATAGGCTAAAAGAAAACCATTATCTTTTACAAATCCAAGCATCAATGATCAACTAGTTCGGGCGGCTCCTTTTCTGCTACATGAGTATTGCAGTGCTATGGATGATAACATCTCTGAAGAAATGTCTCATATATCATGCAAACAAATCAAGGATTTTCTTGAAACTGATAGTTTCTTAAGTGACATCTCTAGGAATACAAGATCCGAGCATTGCGAAATGCTTGATGAAACACCAGATGATCTTGTTGGCATTTCTATCGAGGAACATTGTGTTCCAGATGGAAGGGTAATCTTACAAGCATTCAAAAGTACAAATGGCTCGGCCGAAAGCAATGCTGAAAAGAACGATGTTCTACATGGTACATTGAGTCCATATACTGTTCCGTTGAGCTTGATTGAGAGGTGGGGAAGCGCCATGGGTATCCTTTTATGAGCTGTGAGAAATTACGCTGCAGCAATTATTTCTTGTCATATTATCTTTCATCAAGCTAATTTTAATTGCTCGTAATGATCAATTGAATTCCTTAAAAATTATTGCAGATATAGTTTACCCAGATTCGAGACGTTGTTGCTGTTTTACCAAAAGCTATTACCGATATGTGAAGGGAACCGGCTCCTTGCTGGCAACAGTCAGAGTACAATCCATATTCTCGTGTATACCAATTGTCTGATTACTACTATATCTAATGGGCTTGGGAGACCCGTAGTCCATTTAGTCATCGTTATACATTTCAATGATCAATAACGGGGAGAGAATGTGAAAGCAATGATCCCATGGTTGAGCCTGCTCTCTCCACCATCGTCGATGTTTCCAATGAATGGTGTCGATTCAATGGAAGTTGTTTGTTTTCTCAATCCATTGTATTGTAGAGTATTTTATGATATCTCAATTATCAGTTCTTGTTGTGAGTCACAATGATTTTCTTTGCTTTTTGATAGCTATATTCTTTGGACACATTTAACTTTTCCTTTTTTAGTTAATTCACTAGCTATTGGCTGTTAATTTAGGTAGGTTCTTGCTGTGCGTTTCTTCTTTTCTTTTGATTAAAGTATGATTGCTTAATATCGCTAGACAATTTAGGTACAGAGGAAGCAACCATTAGATGGAAAAGTGGAACTTTCTGAGCTAGGTCTCAGATATTTTACTCCTAGAGAGGTTTGTATGTGCTTTCTTTAATTACATGACAGATGCTGCTGGTCTTTCATTGTTTTGTGCAGTTTTAACAAAATATCCTACAATCCTGCAGGTTGCTAATTTCCATTCTTTACCAGAGAATTTTGAGTTTCCCGAGCACATAAACATGAAGCAAAGGTTAGTGCCTTTATTTTTTTTTCCCATGTTATTCTCTCTTAGGGGAATCATGGAAAGAAATGTTATCTTGAGTCAGGTTCTAGTAAGATTATTGGGTGCGAATACATTTGAAGTTTACTAGTGAAGATTTAAACCTCATGTATAATGGAAGACATCTTTTAAGACCTATTGGTATTCACTGAATATGCAGTTAGTTTAGCTGGGGAACCCAGCCATCCATATCCATTAGGTGGAGTTCTAAATGTGGGTGATGCCAAATATCTCTGGGCCAGTGTGTGGAGACAAATGTGTTTGTTATTATTTTGATTTGCTAACTCTTTCTTGAATGGCTTCCATGTAGACATGTTGGCACTTGATTAGCTTAAGCAAATAAATTGTTGCTACGTGTCATTGCAGGTATGCTTTACTGGGAAACAGTTTAAGTGTTGCAGTGGTAGCACCATTGCTCAGATATTTGTTCACAGACTCTCGTGGTTGCCCACCTCATGAATGAAACAGGTTATCATTTTCTGGTACTTTTTGTGTTCCTTCTAGTTTCTTATTATGGCGGTGGGATGACGAGTGGAATTTGAGCTCTATGTTGCAGTCCTTTATTCTCACTGTAAGCAGTCTTTGTGTTGCAGTTCTGATGGACTCTTTCAGAAAATTGCCGAGGAACTTCATGGAGTGGAAGACTGATCTGTCAATACCACTTATTTCAGAGCTTTGACCTGCCGAGGATTAACCATTAATTGGCTGAGTCGTCAAGGAGCTGATTGGCATGCTGTCTTATGCTGTCTGAGTTGAATCCCTAGTGGCCTGGGGTTGTATTTTTTGCAGTAAACGAACAGCAGAGAGTAATTTTTCGGTACAGCCGAGTATTTTACCAGATCAGTTCTCTTGAAAATATTCACGTTTAGTGACCGCTTATAACTGAAAAGTAAAGATGGATCAGGACTCTGCACCGACCCGAAACTTGGTTGTTCTGGGTCTGAAACACCTGGGCTTGGTCTGATCTGCTGGTTTCAGTGAAGAAAATGGAGGAAAGATGACAAATAAAAGAGTGTCATTAGGTTTTTAATATTGTAATTAAGAATTTTTATATTTTTGAAATCGTGTGACTACTCAAGTTTCAAAAATCTTTCTTCAGGTTATTTAAGTACAATTTTTTTACATCTTGGAATACGTATGAATTTTTTAAATTTATTTATCTTTTTCTTGCGATGTTCTATCACCTCACATCTCTGAATACGTATGAATTTTTTAAATTTATTTATCTTTTTCTCGCGATGCTCTATCACCTCTCTGTTGTTTCTCTTGAAGCCCGTTAAGTCAAAACAAGGTTTTCGATTTTAGTTCATGACGGACGGTTATGCTCTGATTGATCCTTTTATTTCGAATTATATACGTACCTTTTTTAATTACAATTTTATAATTTACAGAAATTTATCACCATCTCACCTACAGAAATTTTATCACCTCTCACCTGAGCGTTTTAACTATCGACCTTTCATCTTGAGGTCTTGGGCCGCCAGCGCATCATCAATGATCTCTACAAAATGGTCTGCTTGGGTCCATTGCATTACCACAATTACCAAAAAGTCAAGATACTCGCGGTGTTGGCATGGCAAAGAAGGAAAAAGGAGATTATAAGTTACAACTATGAACTAAATACAAAGTTACCATGATATTGACATAGCCTCAAGGTGCGGACCCATCCGCCCAAGGGTTTTCTGGGTTTTGAATTCTAGGATTGACACCTGCACATACCATGCTTCATACTCCCTAGAAGGCAACCCACCACTCTCGTCTGGCTCGTAAGTCTGAAGGTAATGAAGCCAATCACTTAGATTGTGATTTGGGGTGGGAGCGCGTGCTCCCAATTTTCTTTGTTTCTAACCCACCTCTCTGCTTTATACCATATGCCAGGATTTGCTGGAATGAGCTGCCTCAAGCAAAACTGCGTAGCACCCGGTCTGGAAGATACTTCTCTGCTATGTTGTGAAAAATCAAATGTCCTACAGAGAGCGGTCTCAAATGCCTCCCGATTTAGTGCCAACCCATCTTTGTCCTCAACACTATTATCTTTCTGAGCTTCATAAGAGTTCCAAAATACAAGTAGGCATGGATAGTGACACATATATCCAAAATACATGTAGGCATGGATAGTGACACATATATAACAGTTAAGAATGAATCCTTATGAATAATTCAATCGATAACTTCTTCTTGAATGTTTGAAATATCTACAATATGCAGTTGAAGAAGGAAAAATAAAAAAAATAAAGAAAAAATCAAATACCATATCCTTGAAGAAATGGCACTACGTTTAGGACACAATGAATACGAAATATATTTATAAATATATGTACCAAATATATTTAGAGAAAGTATAGAATGAAACCATTTATTTTTGGTACAAGGTGGTCATATTATTGTTGACCATTGGATGTGAAATTGGGTGGCTGCAATTATTCCATTGACCAAGCTCAAACAACAAAAGAAATATTCTCAAACTTTGTGACATGTTCAAGGTATCAAATTTCATATCGGATGGTTGTAAATAATTGTGACCACCTTGTATCAAATATAAATGGTCGCATTGTATACAATCCCATAAATATATATAGAGACATGTGGTAGACCTTGGCTTACATATACTCATATTAAATTTTTCCAATATCCTCTTACAGTAGGTTGCTTGGGAAAGTTGGATAGTCTTTCTTTCCTGTTTCTTATTATCTTAATGCCAAACACATATGAAGCTTCTCTAAGATCCTTTATATCGAAGTGTTGTGCAATAAAATTTTTCGTCTCTACTACTAGGGCAATTGAGCTACTAACAATTAGCATATCATCCACATATAACGATATAAAGACCACATCACTCCCATTGACCTTTTGATATTTGCAAAAAACGTCATTATTTATGGAGAACCTTGCAAGAGCAAGGGTTTCTTGGAATTTTATATACCACTGTCGCGATGTTTGATTCAGACCATAAAGGGATTTATTTAATTTGTATATTAAGTTTACTTCCCTTTCTCCTCAAATCCTTCAGGTGGGGTCATGTAAATTTCTTCTTCTAAATCATCATTTAGAAAGGCTATTTTGACATCCATTTGATGAACCTCAAAGTTAAAATGGGCTGCTACAGCTACAAAGATTTGGATGGATGGAAATTTGGCAACAGGGGAAAAAGTTTCATCATAATCTATCCCTGCTTTCTGGGTGAAACCCTTTGCAACCAACCTAGCTTTGTATTTTTCTATTTTTCCTTCAAAGTTCATTTTTTTCTTGAAAATCCACTTACAACTAATGACCTTACGCTTTTGAGGCAGAGGTACTAATTCTCATACATGGTTTTGGTTAATAGAAGCATACTCGTCTTTCATTTCTTCTACCTAGTATTCCCTTTCAGGACAGGTCAAGGCTTCACGGTGGGTTCTAGGTTCTGAATCTGGATCTTCTCCAACCTTATCAAAATGTTCTCCAAGGTAGACAAAATGCTCTAGGTAAAAAGGTGATCTACTGACTCGGTTACTTTGTCTTGGTTCAGGTAAATGTTCACTTTTTTTAGGGAGTTCAAGATCAGCTTGGGTTGGTTTAAAAGTGTCAGGTTCAGGGTCTTGAACTACGTCCTTGTTTTTGGCTTCCTCATAAAAATCGGCTTGTTTTCTACTCACCATTGCTTCAAGGAACTCTTCCTCGAAGAGCATCGTGACTTTCAATAATCGTACCTGTTTCAAAGTTGTAGAATCAATACCCCTTATCATGATTTGGGTAACCAATGAAAATAGATTTGACAGTTTTGGGTTGTAATTTGGTTCTATTTTGATGTGGGATAAAGACATGGATTGAGCAACTCCAAACTCTCAGGTGTTCAAGGGAGAGAGTACAATCTATGAAAATTTCATGAGGAGTAAGTGGGGCAGCTTTTGTGGGAGTCTGGTTAAGGATGTAACATGCCGTTAATATGGCTTCTCTCCAAAACTCCAATGAGAGATTTGCATGCCCCATCATACCCCTTACCATTTCCACTAAGGTCCTATTTCTTATCTCAGCTACACCATTTTGTTCAGGAGTATAAGGCATGGTGTACTGATGGATGATCATATTTTCAATGCACAATTCTTTGAAAAGGTCAAATGAGTATTCCCCCCCGTCTATCGGTTCTAAGGACTTTAATTTTCAAGTTGGTTTGATTATCTACATAGGCCTGATATTCTTTGAATTTTTCTAGAGCTTCTGATTTTGCATGAATAAGGTACACATGGCCATATCGCGAGTGATCATCTATAAAAGAGATAAAATATCTTTTTCCACTTTTGGTGATCACATTCATAAGTCCACATATGTCACTATGAATGATTTCCAACATGCTAGTAGCTCTTTTTTCCTTGGTATTTTTCCTTATTAATTTTCCTTGCACACAAGACTCGCACATTTTCGATAAATCTAATCCCGTCCCTTTTTAATCTTTCCATTCATTTGATATTAATGTGTCCTAACGTCATATGCCATAGGGTAGCATTCAATTCAATTAGGGGACGAGACATAAGCAATATTCTCTTTTATTTCAATATTAAATAGCCCATCTATAAGTCGTCCAGTCATGATCACATCTTTCCCCTTTTTGACCATCACTTTCTCCCCAATGAAAGTGGTTCTGAATCCAGCCATAGACATCTTAGGAATCGAAACCAAGTACTTCCTTATATCAGGAGCATAAAATGCTTGCTTTAGGATCAATGTGCTCCCACTCTTCAGTTTTAGCTCAAAATTTCCAACTCCAAGAACATCAGCCTTCTGATTTCCTCCCATGTAAATATGCTGCTAACTTGGCCCCATGGAAGTGAAAGAACGGAAACCATTCTTGGTGTTTGTGCCATGTGCCGTAGCATCCGAGTCAAGACACCAAAAGGCTCCCTTGGTGTCAGCCAACATAGACTCAAAAACCACACATGCCAATTCTTTGTTGGTCCTTCTAGATTTGTTAAATCGATAACTCTTGGCTATGTGGCCCACTTTCTTGCAAATAAAGCAAGTTCATGTCTCTCTCTTTGCTCCATTGTTTCCAAAATCTCTCCTTTTGAAATTTCTTTTCTTTCCAAAATTATTTCTTCCCTTTCCTTCTTAAATTTAAAAGAAGGTGAAGATTTTAACATATGTACGGCTTCCCTTGAAGTTGTTGTCAGTAGTTGCCTTGAATTTTTCCTCTCCTTTTCTGCTTTGATTGTAGTGATGAGCTCCTCTAGTTTTGGTGCTTTCCTTCTGGCTAAGATGGAGGATATGAAAGTCTCCCATGAATTTGGATGTGAATTCATAAGATGAATCATTTGCATAGGTTCATTAGGTTTCATGCCTGTGTCTTCTAGCTCTCTGACTAACGTACGAAACACATGCACATGATCTACAAACTTGGTACCTTCTGCCATCTATAATTCATTATACCTCCTCATAGCCATTGTATGCTTCATAAGAGAAGGTTCAACATACTCTCCCTCAAGTTTATCATATATAGATTGACTCATACTCAGAAGCATATGAGTCAGTTATGGCAAATAAAAGAATGTGTTTGCATATCAAATTCCTTCTCTTTCAATTGGCGTACTCATTTTTTATTTCTTGAGATGAGTCGTTAGTTAGACGACGAGGTTGGTCCTCAAAGAGTACATCATGCAAGTTTTCCTCATTGAGCACAAATTTAATTTTTTTTTTCCATGAAGCAAAGTTGGTCTCATCATACTTTTTGGCTTTCAGAATCTCTGAGATGAAAGTACGAGCAGCTACACCTTTCTATTCTCAAGCAAAGAAAATTAAAAAAAAGACTCCTAATGGCAATCAAGTAAAACCAGCTCTGATACTAATGAAAGAAAGACCTATGTGATCTTTTGCCAGGAAATACAAATTTTTTTTTTAATAATAATCATTACTTATGTTTTTGGCAATAAGATCATTCACAGATGGTCTTATTACATACAATAGATGCTCCAAAAATAAAAGCCACATCAATGAAATAAACCTCAACTACTTGATGCCATTCATACAACTTAATACTGTACTTGAGAATATAAAATAAAAGAACAAGCAAATAAAAGAAAAAATGCTCGAGATTATCTCAATCGGGCTTTTTACACCCCACATCGAGCCACTACATCCAATGGCACTGGATCTGTGGTCTAACTTAAATCTCGAACCGGGATAACTGATTTCAGCCAAAC